AATTTTCGTCATTTTGGACACGTACAACGCTCCAGCATCGCCCACCTAACTGATCTTATAGTTAGTCCGCAAAAATAGAATATCTTATATGAAAGCATCTGAAAGCCACTCATAATTTCTTCCATTTTTGTTTTCATTTTCAAAGGCTAGAATATGTGGTAGGGTAACCTATAGTAGTTCTGAAAAACGGTATTCTAACCTCAGATTGCAGCTCACAAACAATCTCTCCTCTTTTTCGGTTCATTTCAGTTTTCACGCTATATGACGTAGGCGTATTTCAAAGATCAAGATTACCGGCTTGCCGCTGCAGCACGATGATCACTGTGCCTTGATGTTCGATAAACAATGGAGGGTAAGCGTGTTTTCAGGTTCACTATCGTTCATTGTTCTCTTGTTTTTTGAGATATTCCAGAACAAAAGGCGCGGTTTTTGTACGTCATGATTCCTGAGGTATTCCTAGTCTATTTAAGCAACGTTATACACTTTGGACGAGAGTAAGAGAATTCTATGTTGCTCGAACGTCTTTCAAATATTTCTAGTTGAAATTCAGTTTGAATGCGCGAGCAATGGGCGTCAGTAGTATTTAAAGGCAGCACCCACTCTAAAAACGGATTTCGAGATTCAGGTAGTTTATGAAATCTCAGTGACTGAATAGCCAAAAGCCAAAATAAGAGCACCGCTAAGCTGCTTATTGGGGAGAAAACGACCGAAACGTCGGGTACTCGGTGGACTAGTTATGAAGGATGCGGGACGAGTTGTCCTGTCACTTTATTTTCCGCGCTAGTTAGAGCGCTAAACCATTCGTTATGAGTAGAGTTGTACAAGCTTTCTATGTCCTCGCAGTTGAGGCGGCAAGCGACTCCAAAAGAAAGAGCGCGACGAAATGGAAAACTCGTCCACGAAACCGCGGACGTATTTTCTGGAGCGAATTTCACGGTCAGGAATGAGTCCTGAGCCGTGAAATTTGAACCTTAACCCGTCCTTGAGTTCGTCTTTCGGAATAGATCAAGAACTCAGAAGCCGTTCTAAGAGTGGGTGCTGCCTTTAAAGTGGAGTTGACAAGCCGGTGCAAAGCTGTGCTGGGTGTGTCTACACAAATCAGAAAAAAGGCGTCTCCAGATTAGCTGTAGCACCAACTGATGGTATTCAGTTACTGTTAGGAATCGGTCTTGAGTGGAATTTCGCCTTACAACTTTGCACCGACTTGTCAACTCCACTATACATGTGCGTGCGACACTTTAATCCGTGAAAATGCGTCCTTTTGCACTAATTATGGGCATTACTGCACACCTATCTTTTATCAGCTGCTTCAAGACAGTGCGTTTTCCAGCTTTTTTTAGATAAATTAGCCCTAAAATGAACAATTTGGAGGACTTTACGATTCTCTGGATACAATGCGGCCAGGTTCTGATTTAAGATAACTGGAACAGTCGTGAGTTTCGTCGGCTAAAGTGGGGTACGCTGACTGAGATTTTTGAACATCACAGACTAAACTTTTCTATACTGTTTTTCTTTTCCGAATTTTTGAGATTGAGATTTGTAGACTTTTAGATGGCTGAGTTAGTCGATTTATGTTCGATCTGCTGCAATGAATTGAGAGCAGTTGGCTGGAACTGAACGCTCTTCGAGAAAGTACCTGTCAGAACATCTCCATAGGATGAGATTCCGATTTTGGTAGTTTACTGCATTTTTGTTTTTACAGTATCTGTTTTCTCGTAATTTTTGGATACATCGCCATTGCTATTCTGCCAATAAACAATTTTCAAGTTTTTTTCTCCACTTTTTTCGCGTCGAGAGAATGAATATAGTACTCTGTGTGGACCTTTCTTACTTTTTAACATGTGGATGAGGGGCTACTTTTTAGAAAATCAGTCAAAGACGTTTGCAAGAGTATGTCGGTGAGAAGATAGCCTAGCCAGTTTACTCCAAGCCCTAGAGGTCCATAGAGTTGTAGCAAGATTACTGTTACTGTGAAAGTATGCCTAGAAGAAGATGATCAGAGATCAAATCCGGATAAGTTTCTGTATTACACGATTTGGTGACAGGGGTAGACAGTCCAGGAACTTACTGTTACAGAAATTTTTGAATTGTGAGCATTATATTGCGCCGAGGTCGAAGTCCTAAGATACATCATCGCCGAAATCCTACACTCGTTGCAGCATTCATGGCTCAGTGGCAAGTGGCTTGACCAGCAAGCGATTGGTCGTGGGATCGAGTCTGCTGGCGGGTCAATTTTTCTTCACGAACAGCCTTCAGTAGAGATGAAAAAATCCCAGCAACAGGCCACCCAGGAACTTAGAGGAATTCCGATAATTTGAAGACATTATATTGCAAAGAGTTCCAAATCCTAAGGTATACCAATATCCTAGTCATCGACAGAACAGTGTGTTCGGATGGTCTAGCGGCTAAGCTGTTGGACCGCCGAGCCCGGTAGTCCAGGGTTCACACCCTGCGACGGCCGTTGATTTGTGGAAGCCCTGCCGAAAGGTAGAGCAGTCGGAGGACTACTGAGCGATGTGCTAGTACTCAGCTTCCTTGAGCTAACTATTCGCTGCAGATGCAGAGCTTTGGCTCAAATATACGTGGCTATATGGGGGAGTTTATTGATATTATGCAGATTTTTCTCTCATTTATTCGATTTCGACCTACCTGCAAAAGGTACGGAACAACAAAATGTAGCCTTCAGTCGGTAGGTAAGCCGAGCGAAGGGAGGCGACATGGGTAGCGTACGCAAAGCGCCTCCGGAGCCGAGCGGAAGCCATCGGCGCAGCGGAGCAAAGGGGCAACCCAGAGCCGGAAAGGAACAGCAGAAGTGAAGAGGGGCAGGCGAGAAGAGAATGAACCGGAAAAGAGAAAAGGTCCTGGGACAAAGGCACACTCAAACATCACAATACCACGATCAAAAAGTTGCAAAACTCACCTCCTACTCCGCAACGAACCAAACCCCCACGCCAAATAACCCACTGAAGTTGGCCGGTGTTGTCCAACACCCCCCACACTCTGAAACAACAGAAACTATAACGATGACGCAACTAACTCGACCCACGAAGTCCATTGCACCAGAGGGGATCCGAACCCTGAATCGTCATTCCATCAGTCCAACGCTCTAACCATCCAGCTACCTGTGTTGGTACTCACTACCCAAATTTGTTTTATAGGTAACCATGATTTCGTCAAACTCAACAACGCCTTTGAGAGCCTGTTGTTCAAAACTTGTGATACGGAACGGAGGCAGCCGGGCCTGAACTCACTACCACAAGGTGGATAGACAAACGTGTTAACCACTGAGCCATCCCAACATGAGATAATTTCCCCTTCTTTACCCCTGTGATG